CAGCACTTTGGGAGGCCAAGGCGGGAGGATCACTTGAGTGCGGGAGTTCAGGACCAGTGTGGTAACACAGGGAGACCCTGTCTCTACAAAATATCAGCTGGGCGTGGTGACTTGTGCCAGTGGTCCCAACTACTTGGGTGGGTGAGGTGAAAGGATCCCTTGAGCCAAGAAAGTCGAGGCTGCAGTGAGCTGTGATCGTACCACTGCACTCCAGCCTGGGCAGCAGAGTGAGATGCTGTCTCAAAAATAAAAATGTCAATCATCCAATAAAGTGTTGTTGAGTTTAGGTCACTGAGGTTTAGGGGCTGTCAGAACCATTGGCCTAGCCTGGCTAACTAAAGCACAGGTAGATAATAAAGCTCTCAATCAATGCTAGCTGCTGTTCTGGCCTAATCTCCCTGCACCTGTGTTCTCACCCATAAAATGGTGTTCACAGGACCCACGCTACAGAATTGTGAGGAATGAAAGAAACGATGGAGAGTATGACTTCCTGGCTTAGCTTCTCTTCAACACAATTATTTTATCTAAATACTACCACCTGAATCATCATTACCTTTTTTCTTAAGCAAGATTATTTGTCATGTAGCCTCTTTTAAGTTTCATTTTTATTTATTTATATTTTGGAGACAGAGTCTCGCTCTGTTGCGCAAGCTGGAATACAGTGGTGTGATCTTGGCTCACTACAGCCTCTGCCTCCCGGGTTCAAGCAACTCTCATGCCTCAGTCTCCCAAGTAGCTGGAATTACAGATATGCGCCACCATGCCCCCGATAATTTTTATATTTTTATTAGAGATGGGGTTTCACCATGTTGGCCAGGCTGGTCTCCAATTCTTGATCTCAAGTGATCTGTCTGCCTCGGCGTCCCAAAGTGCTGGGATTACAGGCGTGAGCCACCACGCACGGCCCAGAATATTTCCTAAAATCCATTTGACTTGACGGTCTCAAAACCTAAATATAGAGTAGGAAGTTCCTAATTTAGAAGTTTGTAGATTTATATATTTTTAATTTTTAAAGTTATGAAATATTTTTTAAAATATAAAAAATCATAATAAACACCTATATTCCCACAACTCCATAAATATGGTAAAATCTTAACATTTTGCTGTATTTGATAGGTGATTTTTTTCTTTGTTTCTTTTTTAGAGACAGGGTCCCACTCTATCGCCCAGGCTGGAGTGCAGTGGGCAGTCACAGCTTGGCTTACTGTGGCCTTGAGCTCCTGTGCTCTGCGTGTTTTCAAAAGACATAAAAAATTATGGATGAAATTGGAAAAAAAAAAAAGAAATTATGTATCTAAAGAAGTTGGTACAGTGCCCAGCATATGCAAAGCAGTTGGTAATTGTCAGCTAATTTTTTTATTTTTGAAATAATTTTAGATTTACAGCAGACTTATAAAGATAGCAGAGACATTTCTTGTATATCCACTCAGCTTTCTTTGATGTTAGCTTCTTACATAACCTTGCTACATTTATCAAAGAAATTAACATTGCTGTAACACTATTAACTAAACCACAAACGTTACTTGGATTTCACCAGCTTTTCCACATATGTTCTTTTTCTGTTCCAGGATCCAATCCAAGTCCAGGTGTAGTGGCTTACTCCTGTAATCTCAGCACTTTGGGAGGCTGAGGCAGGCAGATCATTTGAGGTCAGGAGTTCAAGACCAGCCTGACCAACATAGTGAAACCCTGTCTCTACTAAAAAAATAAATAAATGAAAATCAATTTAAAAAAAAGTAAGCCTCCAGGCACGGTGGCACGTGCCTGTAGTCCCAGCTATTCAGCAGGCTGAGGTGAGAGGATTGCTTGAGCCCAGGAGTTCTGGGCTGTAGTGTGCTATGCCAATTGGGTGTCTGCACTAAGTTCAGCATCGATATGGTGACCTCCCGGGATCGGGGAACCACCAGGTTGCCTAAGGAGGGGTGGACTGGCCCAGGTTGGAAATGGAGCAGGTCAAAATTCTCGTGCTGATCAGTAGTGGGATTGTGCCTGTGAACAGCCGCTGCACTCCAGCCTGGGCAACATAGGAGACCACGTATCTGAAAAAAAAAAAAAAAAAAAAAAAAAATTAAGCCAGGTGGGGTGGCTCACACCTGTAGTTCCAGCACTTTGGGAGGCCAAGGTGGGGAGTTCAAGACCAGCCTGGCCAACATGGTGAAACCCCATCTCTACTAAAAATACAAAAATTAGTCGGGCATGATGGCAGGCACCTATAATCCCAGCTACTTGGGAGGCTGAGGCAGGAGAATTGCTTGAACCTGGGAGGCAGAGGTTGCAATAAGCTGAGATTGTGCCACTTCACTCCAGCCTGGGCGATAGAGCAAGACTCCATTTCAAAAGAAAAAACAAACAAAAAAACCCCAGGATCCAATCCGGAATACCACCTTGCCTTTAAGTCAGCCAATTTTACTCATTCATCCATTTATTCAATGCATTGAGAATGCTGTCAGATTTTAGTCCAAGACTGAAGGCCAGGCACCATGTGCTGTGATGATGATTGATCTGTGATTTATCATTTATTTATTTATTTTATTATTTTTATAAAAGAGATGGGATCTTGACACATTGCCCAAACCAGTCTCGAGCTCTTGGGCTCAGGCGATCCTCCTGCCTTGGCCTCCCAAAATATGGGGATTACAGGTGTGAGGCACTGCATCCAGCCACAGCTATCATTTCTGGGAACTCACCACATATTGTGCAAAACACCTTTCTATATGCCCCACTTAATCCTTATAACAATCCTATGTGGTGGCTGTCATAAATCCTGTGTTATGGATAGATATGGAGAGATTAACTGAGATCATACATCTGACAAGAGGCAGAGGTAGATTTGAACCCAAAGAGTCTGGCTTCAAAGTCATGGTCTTCACAATACACAACTCTTTTCACAAGGCTGCTGTCTAGAAGAGGGAGATACAGTATTACAGGCTTCCCTGGGTGAGTGTGGCAGGCAGGGAGGCATCCCAGGGGAAGTGCCAGTCTGAAGCTCAGCCTCGATTTCCTCGGTATTTGGTGAATGTTTGGCTTTCCTGCCACCCACCTCCTCATGGTTTCCTTGAGGAGGAAACCCTGCAGCCCCAGATTCTGCACCCAATCCACAGAGCCCCAAGAAGGTGACCTGCTGGAACCCAGGCCCCAGGCCCAGAGTGTGGCTTTGTCACAGCCTCAGTGCATCCACCCCAGCTGTCAGGGACAGGCTGCCCATACTCAGATGAGGATGACTGGCTTCTGGAGCCATTACCTTGGGTCCCACTGATGGTGATGAGCAAGAAACAGCAACAAGCACTGAGCTGTCAGGTGGAGAAGGGATCCAAGGGAATTGGGATGGGCAGGTGAGGCTGCTTAGCTGGGACTGGCTTTGTCTACTAGAGAATCAGACTCCACCACCCCCAGGGTGAATTGAAAACAGCCTTCCATTCCTAGAGTGAGGAGCCCAGGAGTGTTTACACCTGCCTGGTGGGGGCTGGGCCCTGTGACTAAGCTGAATATTGCTGCACCAGCCCTCCTGCCATCCTCCACCTAGGACATACATATGCTCTCTGGAAAAGACCCAGAGAGCACCTGAGGCAGCCAACAGCAACGTGGGATTGGGACCAAGTGCTGCAGAGAATTGGGGAGAGCAGAAACACTAAAGGAGAGAGGAGGCAGAGGATACAACCCTGAGTAACCTTGGCATTGAAGGGCCTGCCAAAGGAGGCAAGGGTCCAGGCGCAGTGGCTCACACCTGTAATCCCAGCACTTTGGAAGACTGAGGCAGGAGAATCACTTGAGTCCACGAGTTCAAGACCAGCCTGGACAACCTAGTGAGACCTTGTCTCTACAAAAAATTTAAAAATTAATTGGGCATGATGGCTCACACCTGTGGTCCCAGCTACTCGGGAGGCTGAGATGAAAGGATCGCTCGAGTTGGGGTGCAGGGGTCGAGATTGCAGTGAGTTGATTGTGCCACTGCACTCCAGCCTGGGCCACAGAGACCCTGTCTCAAAACAACCAGAAACCCCCAAAACACACACGCACACAAACAAAGAAGGCAAGAGCTCACTAAAAGCAGCAAGAGAGGTAGAGGAAAGCTGCCCATTTAATCCTCATAAATACCTTGAGTTTTTATGATCTATTTACAGGTGAAGAACTGGGGGAAGAGGGACTTTATTGTTTTATTTTATGTTGTGCTAAGATAAAAACTTAGAAACTCAGAGCTGTTTTGTTCCATCATATAACCGTCCTCTGCCTAGTATTTCTGGTGTGCTTCCTTCCCAACCCCATCATCCTCTTGTTTAATGCTCTTATTTGTTAGGCGTCTAAATTTTAAGCCGTCCTTTTGAAAGCAGAGTGTTAATGAGAAGACTGATTGGTTTCAAGAGAAGCTATTTGTGCACAGTGAATTTTGATAGTCGGCTTTGGGTAGGATGGGCATGGAAAGAATGGTGATACATTCAACTTGGGTCTTTTTTTTATTGAGACAGAGTCTTGCTCTGTTGCCAGGCTGGAATGCAGTGGTGTGATCTCGGCTCACTGCAACCTCCATCTCCCAGGTTGAAGTGATTCCTCTGCCTACAGGTACATGCCACCATGCCCAGCTAATTTTTTGTATTTTAGTAGAGATAGGGTTTCACCATGTTGGCCAGGATGGTTTCGATCTCCTGACCTCATGATCCACCCACCTTGGCTTTCCAAAGTGCTGGGATTACAGGCATGAGCCACCGCGCCTGGCTGAACTTGGGTCTTTATCAGACAACCTAACTCTTGCCTGAGGATGCAAGGAGGACAAAATGAGGACGAGGTCATCTAATCCTCACACTTGTACCCTGCTCCTTCCTCCTGCACCCAAGGCAGATTTCACGAATAATTCCCACCTGTCCTCCTTCCTCATGAAGCCTTTGTCATGGACTCAGACCCCTCCCTCAGGCTGCCATCCCACTGAATCAGAGTTGGCAAGCCATCTGGAACCTTGTGACCATCCCAAGAGTAAGCCACTGCCCCAAGACCACCAAACAATCACCTGTCTTTATGACGATGAACATTTTATTATAGAGACAGACTGAACTCACTTTTGCATAAAGAATCTCTAGATTGGGTCAGGGAAATTCACCTGCTAAAGGGTCACCACCCAGCTATCCCTGCCTCTGCCTCAGCCCCACTTGCTGTTTACATCTCAGGGTCACTAGAAACAGCAGAGGCTGCTGTCCCCAGGGCCAGGCTGGTGGGGTCGGGCCATGCTGGATGGAGGGTCAGGGATCCTGGCCGCCTGCCAGGTCAGAGCCGCCCCGTCTCTTGCCCCAGTCGGTTGTCCAGAACCTGGAGCTGCCGGAGGAAGCCTGAGTTAGGGCAGATATTGCGGTGGGCCTGCACCGTCTGGATAGCCTCTACCAGCGTCATGTTCTCGTAGATCATGAGGTAGGCCAGGACAAGCGTGGCAGAGCGGCTTACCCCCATGGCACAGTGTACCAGCACACGGCCTGTGGGGAGAACCGACCTAGCATCAGCTACCTGCCCTTGAACCGCCCATCCCTTTGGGAAGAAGAGACACCCATGACCATCCTCCACAGCATACTGGAACCCTAACACTGTCTTCCCTGTCAAATGGGGTAACTGAATCCTGGAGAGAGGAGACTGGCTCAAAGTCACATCGCAAGTTAGTGGCAGGGTTAGGTTTAGGTTAGCAGCTGTGATTTCCTTCTTCCGGTCCAGGTGCTTCCTCACGCATCCTTTGCAACTCTGGGCCAGGGGAAGGGGATTTACTGAATTCCTGGGGTCCCTGGGTTTGCATTAGATTACATGCAGGGTCCATCTACCTCCCTTTCCCTTGAGTTCTGCCCTCTCCCCTGCCCCTGCAGCTATGCCAAGGCCTCATCTTAGAGGAGCCGCTCAAGAGTTTCTCTGGGTCCTGTACCTGTCCATTGCCTGGCCTCTTATGGAGGGATGTGGTGATGCTAATGACCCCACTGGATCTTAGTTATGTCTGTGATTGCTGGTCTCCAGGGTGTCCCTGAAGGGGACACTCACTGAATGGTAGTAGCTATTTGCCCCATGGAGTGGGAGGGTTGCTGAAAGGATTTGTTTCTCTGGACTCCCACCCACCAGTGCTACTGGAAAAATGGAGAGTCCCAAAGCACACCCTGCCACCCTCTACCCCTCACCATGCCTGCCCTAGAAGTGCACCTTGGGGAAGACTGAGGGCAGCTCGGATGTATCGAGCAACAGGCAGAAAGTAGACACTGAGGTCGAAGAAGGGGTTGTCATCCGCCTCGATGCCATAGTACTCCAGGGACATTCCGCGGTAGAACTTGGCACCTGTGTCCACCTGGAATTTGCCTGCAGCGGCATTCACGATGTGGGTGATTCCCAGCTGGGTCAGCTTGCTCTTGTCCCGGGCTGCATACCTGGAGGGGAGGGCACAAGGGGTTAGGAGGGTGGAGGCAGATCTTACTGGGGCAGCTATGGCTGGGCTGAAGTTTGCAAACACCCCTGCCCACCACCCACCAGGGGTAAAGACAAGAGCCTGTGAGTTGGCCCAAGGCGAAGGAGCTCCTCCCATTGGCGTTTAAGACTCCTTTTGGGGCTGGGCGCTGTGGCTCACGCCTGTAATCCCAGCACTTTGGGAGAACAAGGCAGGTGAATCACCTGAGGTCAGGAGTTCAAGACCAGCCTGGCCAACATGGTGAAAACCCATCTCTACTAAAAATACAAAAATTAGCTGGGCACAGTGGCAGGCACCTGTAGTCTCAGCTATTTGGAAGGCTGAGTCAGGAGAATTGCTTGAACCTGGGAGACAGGGGTTGCAGTGAGCCAAGATTGTGCCATGGCACTCCAGCTTGGGCAACAGGGCGAGACTCCATCTCAAAAAAAAACAAGACTCTGCTGGACATGGGGGCTCATGTCTATAATCCCAGCACTTTGGGAGACCAAGGCAGGCAGATCACGAGGTCAAGGAGTTCAAGACCAGCCTGGCCAGCATGGTGAAACCCCGTCGCTACTAAAAATACAAAAATTAGCCAGGTGTGGTGGCAGGCACCTATAATCCCAGCTACTTAGGAGACTGATGAAGGAGAACTGCTTGAACCCTGAACCTGGCAGGCAGAGGTTGCAGTGAACCAAGATTGCTCCACTGCACTCCAGCCTGGATGACAGAGCAAGACTCCATCTTGAATTTAAAAAAAAAGAAACAAGACTCCTTTTCAGGCCAGGCACTGTGGCTCACGCCTGTAATCCCAACACTTTGGGAGACTGAGGCAGGAGGATTGCCTGAGCTCAGGAGTTCAAGACCAGCCTGGGCAACATGGTGAAACCTAATCTCTACAAACAATACAAAAATTAGCCAGGCATAGTGGGACATGCCAGTATTTCCATCCACTTGGGAGGCTGAGGTAGGAGAATCACCTGAGCCTGGGAGGTTGAGGCTGCAGTGAGTGGAGATTGTACTCCTAGGCTCCAGCCTGGGTGGCAGAGTGAGACCCTGCCTCAAAAAAAAAAAAAAAAAGAAAGGAAGAAAAATTAGCTAGGCATACACCTATATTCCCAGCTACTCGAGAGGCTGAGGTGGGAGAATTGCTGAGCCTAGGAATTTGAGGTTGCAGTGAATGATGATAATCACTGCGCTCCAACCTAGGCAACAGAGTGAGACCTTGCCTCTAAGTAAATAAATAAAAATGTAAAAGCAAAATATTGCTAGGATCACTGTTCATAATAGTCAAAAAGTAGAAACAATTCAAATGTCCATATGCAGTAAAATGGATAAACTGTGACATAATCATATAATGAAATCTACAGCAGTGAAAAAATGAATGAACTGCAGATACACATAATAACGTGGGTGACTCACAAATTTGAGCAAATGATGCCAAGCACAAAACACACACAATATGATTCCACTCATATAATTTTAAACTATAGGTGACAATAACTACACTGTTTAAGTATATAGGTAGTAAAACTTTAAAGAAAAACAGGGAAATAATTAATTCAACAGATAGTGATTAACCACAGAGAATAGAAAAGTTATAATGAAAAAGATTCAGTATTAGGCCGGGCGCGGTGGCTCATGCCTGTAATCCTAGGATTTTGGGAGGCCGAGATGGGTGGATCACCTGAGGTCAAGAGTTCAAGACCAGCCTGGCCATCATGGTGAAACCCCATCTTAAAAAAAAAAAAAAGAAAGAAAACGAAATAGATTCAGTAGAGGCTTCTGGGAGACAAGTAATGTCCTTTCTCTTCACTGGGTGATGACGCTATTCATACATGCTCTGTGTACATTTCTTTTTTTTTTTTTTTTGAGATGGAGTTTCAAAAAAAGTCCTGTTGCCCAGGCTGGAGTACAGTGGCGTGATCTCAACTTACTGCAACCTCCACCTCCCAGATTCAAGGGATTCTCCTGCCTCAGACTCTTGAGTAGCTGGGATTATAGGCATCTGCCACCACACCCTACTAATATTTTGTATTTTTAGTAGAGATGGGGTTTCACCATGTTGGCCAGGCTGGTCTCGAACTCCTGACTCAAGTGACTCACTTGTCTCAGCCTTGCAAAATGCTGAGATTGAAGAAAGGCGTGAGCCACCATGCCCAGCCCTGTGAATGCACACACTTTTCTTATGTGCATTCTAGTTCACAGTTAAAAGCAGTGATAATATAAAAGGAAAGAAAAATAGGGAAAGACACAGTGGGAGGCAAGGGTTCCCCCTCTGCCCTGGAAGGCTCTGGGAGAGGCTCATACCCCCATTCCCATGTGAACCTCACACCCTTCTGCCATCCCCACTCCTAACGTGGGTCTTACTCACGCATCTCCCAGGAAGAGTCTGGGCCAGACCTCATTGATGTGGTTCAGTGTGGCAGATTGACGGACCCATAGCAAGCGCTGCAGTGAAGCCAACGTGGGTGGCTGATACGGGGCCCCCCGGGCTGCCCTGTGGATCTTGGGCCTCCGGAGGTCCTGCTTCTGCAGTGAGTCCATCCTGGAACAGAGTGGACACCACAGTGGCTGGAGGCAGGCTCCCCGAGAGTGGATCCAGCTGATGGGGAGGCCCATGGTGCCGTGCCCAGGTGCCACGGGGTTGCTGCGGGAAGGGCCTCAGCTATTTCACATGAGTTATTAACAAGCTCAGCTGGGACTGGGGCCTAGAACCCTTCCCCAGCGAACCAGGGAATCAATCCTTTGTCACTGCTATGGAGCTGGGCAGACCTCTCTCCTGCCCTCTGCTGAGCTGCAGATGTATGAAGCTTTGGCCAAGGGAGCCTTGGAGTTCCCTATTTGTGGCACTAGTCAGGGCAGATCTCACCCCTAAATCAGCTTAGACTTTGTAGGGATGAAAGCCCCAGATGGCTGTGGCTCTCAGGGCACCCAGGAAGCACCGCAACCAACCTAGGCAGCTCATTTCAAGTCCCTCACCTGCTACTTCCAGTGCTCATCCTCAGACCCCTGTCCCCCCACCACTCTCAGGTGCTTGGAGATCAGAGCCCATCTCCAGGTAAGAGGCCAGGGCTGTGAGCTGGTATTTGTTAACATCACCACACGGAATGAGTTAATGCCTCTTATAAGCCTGATGCCTCTGGCTGGGCACTTTGGGAGGCCAAGGCAAGCAGATCATGTGAAGTCAGGAGTTCGAGACCAGCCTGGCCTGTGGCAAAACTCTGTATCCAAAATACAAAAATTAGCCAGGCATGGTGGTCCACTCCTGTAGTCCCAGCTACTTGGAAGGCTGAGGCAGGGCAACTGCTTGGACCTGCGAGGGAGAGGTTGCAGTGATCTGAGATCACACCATGACACTCCAGCCTGGGCGACAGAGAGAGACTCCGTCTCAACAGCAACAAAAAGCCTGATGCCTCACTTGTGGTATGTCCGTCTGTGTTTTACCCAGGAGGAAGCTGAAGCTCAGAATGTTTAAAAAGTGACACCCAAAGCCATACGGCTCATGAGTAGCAAGGCTGGGGTTTTAGTCTATCCCCAAGTCTTTAGTTACCATTTTTGGGGCCTCCAGAGAGTCATCACTAACCCTTCTGTTTCCTCAGGGGAGCCTGGCACTGCTGAGCCACACACCTGCCTGTAGGCCCCGGGTTTTCCTCCTTACCCCCACGACTCAGGCCAGCGCTGGGTGTCAGGCCCCACCCGGGTCGGGTGGCTTGTTTCAAGCATCAGCTGGCTGAAGGAGTCCGGGACCCTGCGGAGCTGGATTTTCAGTGGCACCAGAACATGGGCCCGGCGCCGTGTTGGAGAGGAGGGGCTTTCTTTGCTAACTGCTCCTGATCCCTTGGACCAGTGACTAGGGAAGGTGCATAGAGGGAAGAATATCTTTTCCCTTTGGTAGGTAGTGCCAGGACCAGAAAGATAAACAGGTACCCAGGAGTCTGCCGACTTGGCCAGGCTCACCCAGTGGGAGGCTGTTGGGCAAGGCGGAAGCGAAGACCCAGTTGTCCTCCTCATTCCCCACTGTGACCTCTCCAGGCAGGCTGAGTGGCCTGCCACCTACCTAGGGCATGGTCTGGGGCCAGGCATGGGGGAGTGGGTGCAGCGCAGGACTCTGCCTGAGCAGAACAGGGCTGGGCAGGTTCCGCCCAGAACACAAACACTGTGAAGCGGCTAGAATTCCAGGTGCTGGCCAGGGCACCCGTGAGAGCTGACCACGTGTGGCCTTGTGGACTGGGGTGGGCCCTTCAGTCCCTCCAAATCCCCAGGCCTCCTCTCTGCTTGGTATCTCTTTGGGATTGAAGACTCTTGGCTCCATAACCCCCCATGAAGATGGGAGGCTACCTGAAGATGTGTGAACAGAGCTTCAGAGGCAGGGAGGAGAGCCTGGCTCCCCTGGGACTCTGCCATGACTCATTCTGTGGCCACGAGCAAGTCTTTGCCCTCATCTGGACCATGGTTTATCTTTCCATGCTAGGGATCCTGGACTTGACTTTCAGGATGCTCTGGGGATCTGACCAGAGAATGAGAGAGGAGTGTCTGGATGTGTGGTCACTGCAGAGCAGAGGGCAGTGTGGTATGGTGGAGAAGCCCCCGGGCCCCAGGGGAGTCCAACAGCCACACTAGTTTGGAGCCACCAGGTGGGGCTGCACCACCGCAGGCGGAAGATGTGGCTTTGGGAAGTGGGACAGGCGCTCGGCTCACGGAGCTTGGCATGGTGTGAGGCTGCCTCCCGGTGGCCAAAGGGTGCCTTGCAGCCCAGCCGTGCCCGGGAGCAGCAGCCAGGCTCCCGCTAGGACAGAGCTGGACCCCACACCCTCAGGAAGCTCCAGAGGGGTCAAGGATTTGGGGGGTGATAGGCCACCATGCATGCCTCTGCCTCTGAGGGGACCTAAGCCCAGGTCTAAAGAACAGGGCTCTCCCCTGGACTCAGCCCTACTCCTGCTAAGGTTGCACCTAAGCCCTGGCTCCCGATGCTCAGGACGTAGCCCCCACCTGTCCGCTCTAACCCACTGGGGGCCCGCCTCATCCCATTAGCCAGAGTCAGGCCCAGCCATCCGCCCAGGGACTCATCCTTCAAACCCCAGGCCCTCCCAAGGAGAGGAAGTCGGTGGCTGTGGCAGCTCCCCTGGTTTCTGTGACCCAAGACTTGGTCCTCAGAGGGCCTTGCCTGACACTGCCTTCTATGTCTCCTCGGGCCCCAGCCTCGGGAAGCACAGGCCCAACATGGAGCAGAGCCAGGGCCCGGCCAGACTCCCCTCCCACTCCCTGCAGCCTTCATTCTCTCCCTGGTCCCAAGCTCCTCCTTACCCACTTCCTGCCTCTGCTGCTCAGCGGAGCAGCTGCCTCTGTAGGCAGGGCTTTTCCTGGCCAGCTCCTGCGCTGCTGCTGTTTGCAAGTCCACATACTTGTTTCCTGTCTCTGTATCTCTCCACCCTGGGTCACTCCCGAATTTGCCCTGTCTCCCACCACCCTGCCCCACAGGAAGCTCATGAGCCTTCGAAGCCTCCTGTGACACTGCCCTGGGTGCCCACAACTTCAGGCCAAGGCACAGGCTTCCTTGGGGCAGGGGGCAGCTGCTTGCCATCCACGTCTCAGCTGCAGCTTCAGATGGTCCCCTGGACTTGCTTCCTGCCCACCCTTTCTGACTCCACCCAAGAGGGGCCAATCAGGAGTGTGGCCACAGGCCATGTGGGGTTGGATATCTCAGTGTAGGACCAGTGAGGAGCCTGGCCTGCAGAAGGGTGGCATGTGGCTGCCAGTGGGGAACAGATATGGGTCTCTGTGCTCAGCCTGTGGGCCTTGGGGAGGGCGGCCCCAGGCAGAATTCTCAGGTCCAGTACTGGCATCTGTGTGGTCTTCACTGAGCCAGTTTCTTCAGTGGGTCTGCTGTGAGAATCCCATGCAATAATGAATGTAAAGCACCTCCCACAGGGTCTGTCTCATGTGAGATGCCCAATAAATGGTGCATCTTACTATTATTATCACTACTATAATTACTCTTACCCTTTCCAGCCCCAGCCATATCCTAGGTGGAGAGCAACCCCCTGTGGGACAGTAAGGTTTCTTCTCTATCTTTGTATTTCCTGTTTCTTTCTCTATCCAGCAATAATTATTATATTTAGCACTTACCAAGGATGTACTATGTGCCAGACAGAGCTAGGTAGTTATATTTTCTCACTGAACACTCACAGTGCCTTTATGAAGCAGGTAATATTATCATCCCCATTTTACAGATGAGGAAACTGAGACTCAGAGAGGCTAAGCAACATACCCAAAGTCACACAGCCAATTGATGTGGGAGTAAGGATTCAAGCCCAGGTCTTTCTAACTCTACTATACTTTGTCTGTGCTTTCATCTCTGATCCAGTTGGTTCCCCACCCATCCCAAACCCCACCCTTCCGAAGTGTCCTGGCCCTCATTACCCAGCATGCCCAGGAAGCCCCCCCAACCCCGCAAATTAGGGGCACTCACCTACCTGTGGGAGTATCTGGCCCGGGCTGTGCACTTCTCTGACGGGCAGTTTGTGCTGCCGGCTTTCAGCTGCCTGTCTCCACGCACTTGATGCTGCTTCTATTTTTGGACTTGAGTTTAATTACAAAGCACGCTGTCTGCTCCCCTCTTCCATCCTCCCCTGCCTCTCCCAACTTGTCCACTGGTTCCATGGCATGGTCAGTGCCAAGCCCAGCCAGGCATCTTTCCCTCCAGGCCCAGGCTTCAGTCCCAGCCCTGCTAAGAGTCAAGGCAGCTCGGCCCAGGTCTGACTGTGGCCTATTGCATATATGTATATTGATCATGGGAGAAGGAAGATCAAATAAACCATTTTTAAAGGTCCCTTGGCCAGGTGCAGTAGCTAACACCTATAATCCCAACACTTCGGGAGGCTGAGGTGGGAGGATTGCTTGAGCCTAGGAGTTCGAGACCAGCCTAGGCAATATGGCCAGACCCCGTCTCTACTAAAAATACAAAAAATTAGCCGGTTGTAGTGGCACACGCTTGTAGTCCCAGCTACTCGGGAAGCTGAGGTGGGAGAATCACCTGAGCCCAGAAAGTCGAGGCTGCAGTGAGCCCTGATCCCTGCAGGGCAAAAAGTGCAAGCTGGAAGGATATAGGGGGGGATAGTGAAGAGATCAGCCAAAAATCACACGCAAACTGGTGGCATTGCCAACAGCAGGACCCAGGTCCAGGGGCCCTCAGTTAGGGTCCAAGGATGATGGACTGGCCCAGGATAAAGACCTAGAAAACCCAGGCTGAAGGAAGCGGCACATGCTCGCAAACAGACATAGGTGTGGAGCAGGTCTTCGGACAGCCCTGGGCTGCGGGCAGAAGCGGTATGTCCAGGGCTGCTACCAACCTCTGCCAAGCTCCTCCCCCAACCCAAAGGGCAGGGACACCTAGGGGCCCCACTGTCCCCTGAAGTCACAGAGATGGTTTTATTGTTTTGTTTTGTGATAGTCTCGCTCTATCGCCAAGGCTGGAGTGCAGTGGCCCGATCTCGGCTCACTGCAACCTCCGCCTCCTGGGTTCAAGCGATTCTCCTGCCTCAGCCTCCGGAGTAGCTGGGATTACAGGTGAGCACCACCACGCCTGGCTAATTTTTTTGTGTTTTTAGTAGAGACCGGGTTTCACCATATTGGTCAGGCTGATCTCGAACTCCTGACCTCATGTTCCACCCGCCTCCCAAAGTGCTGGGATTACAGGCATGAGCCACTGCACCCGGCCAAGAGATGGTCTTTAAGGTCTCTTCCCAGGCTAACTGTGGTCAGCTGGGGACCTTCAATTGGGCCTATCAGAAACCTCTGTCATCAACAGACTCTTGTCATATACCCATACCTTGACACTACTCCCCACTCGTACTCCCAGATGATGGGGACAGGACATACCCATGCTCACAGCCACACTGGGTCTCTGAGGTCTGAGCTCCAGGGAACTAAGGCTCAGCCCCTCTTGGGGCTCCCTGAGCCCTGAGGGGAGCTGCTGGAGGCAGCTGTGGCCAACAGCTATCACAAATACCTAGAACCCCCTTCCTCTCTCCTCCCCACCCCATTTTCCCAGGGAATTTGGGGTCCCTGGCCAAGAAACCTGAGCGCTTGGCTGAGAGGGGAGCCCACTCCCACCTGTGGAGACCGAAGACAGTAGCTGAGAGGGGGTGCAGGCACCAGGAGGAACCGGAGGGAGTAGCAGGCTCTAGCGTGGACCCCACACTGGGCTCCCACCATCTTCTGTGTGTCTGCCTGGGCCAGAGCCTCCAGCAGCACCAGCAGGACCAGTGCCAGGGAGGCAAAGTGGCAGAGCCCCAGAGCAGGGAGTAAGGACCGGCTCTGGAAGAGAGATGAGCCCTGTGTTACAGGCAGGTGAACCAAGACCCAAACTTGTTGGGGCAGGGATAAGAGCTGTCACCTAAACCTGCTCCTGCCTTGAGCCCTGCACACAAGGACAAGTGAGTGCAGCTGCTGGAAGAGCTGAGGAGGTGGATTTGGTGTCCATGGCTTAGGGACAGAGATGACTCTCCCCATGGGCCCCTTGTCTTTCAGAGTCCCTAGACCCAGAGCTGCTGTGTACAGTTGCACAGACTGCACGCTGCGTAACTCCTAGGGCCTCCAGTTGCACAATTTGGTGGATGACACCCCAGTGAGTTGTGCAGTGCTGCACTCCTGCCCAGCCAACTCCCCCAAAGTCAGCTCCCTGTTGGGAAAGATACTGAGATCAGAGGTCAGGATGCCTAAGGCCCCAGGCTGAGTGAGAGGGGTGACTGGACGTGGTCTGAGATCTGCTGCTCTGCCAGGTTCCTGGATCCTGTCTAGAGGAGAGAGAGCAGGCTGGGAATTTGCCATGCTACAGGGAGCATGCCCCCCTGAGCATACCCACAGAGCTCCATGCCACAGCTTGGCCCCAGGCCAATCCCAAGCCCAGCTATAACCCAAAGTTTCTTATCACGCTCACCCCCAAACTCTAAACTTAGCCCCAGAGACTTGCCTAATCCTCTGCCCCAAGATGCTCATCCTCCAGCCAGCACATGGGAAGGGCTCCATGCTGCTGGAGGGCCTCCCTTCCGGTGGGGCTGGCTATGCCTGCAGAGACAGGAACTGCTCTTACAGGTGGGAGGCAGGGAGAGAGTCAGGCCCTACCCTGGGAAGTTTCTGGGAGGAAAAAGCTGCTGCTGTTCCAGCTCCCAAGCACGCCCAGGGTAGTCACCCAGCCCCAAATGGCAGCTCCTCTGCAGTAGGGTGGCAGGGACAGCCAAAGACAGGGTTGAGGTGAGACAGGGAAGGAGCTGGAGAGGACGCAGAGCTGGAGGCAGGCCCTGCGGGGTGGGGAGCCGCCCTGGAGGCCTGGCCTCAGCTCATGGATGAGAATTAGCTAAGCCGGGAAGGTTTTCTGTGCGGCACTGTACCTGGGGTCCAGACCTCAGGAAAACGGGATGTGGAGGTGCAGGAGAGTCCAGGCTGGCTGTGCAGATGCCTCGGTGGGATTTAGGGGAGCCCCCACAGGCTCTCAGCTGAGGCAGGGCAGGTTGGCACCAGGACCAGGTAGGAAGGCCTCCCCTCTTCCATTCTACGCTTCCCATGCCTTCGTGTCCGAGTCCTTCTCTTCTCTTTGGGGTGTGAAGGATCTGGGTGGGGTGGGGGAGACAGGTTGGGGGTCCTATAGGAGAATTGCCTAGGCCGGGCCCTTGGGTGATACCCTGGGTAGGTGAAGAGAACCCAGCAGCTTGGGGAGCAGGCCAGGCCCCCTTTAATCCTCACTTCCAGCCACATGCAGCCCTGCTAGCCATTCCCAGAAGAACCCAACCCTGTGTCGGCAGCCCAGGCCCTCACCTGGCCTCTTCCTGCCAACCACATCCAGCTTTACCCCCTGAGGCCTCACCTGGGCCCTCGGCTCTGGCTGGCACCCCGCAGTTGCTGGTCCAGCCTGCAGAGCTGGTGCAGGAAGCCTCGGTTGGGGAAAACCCATCGGTGCTGCCTCACAGTGATCACTGCCTGGCGCAGGGACAGCTGCTGGTGCAGCATGAGATAGGCCAGGACCAGCGTGGCGGAGCGGCTCACACCCACCACACAGTGCACCAGGACCTTGGCTGAGGAAGACATCCTGGTGAAAAACCCTCTCCCACCATCCGGCCCACCCATGGGCTAGGATGGGGACCCAAGTTCCTGTCCTGACCCTGCCGTGGCACACTCTGTGATCCTCAGCAAGTCACTCAGCCTTTATAGCCTCAGTTTTCTGATCGGTAAAATGGGTAGGTCAACACCTGTTCTGCCTACCCTTGGGATAGGGTCCAAATGTTTTTTTCTCTTTCCTTTTCTTTCCTTTTCTCTCTCCCTTCCTTCCTTCCTTCTTTCCTTCCTTCCTTCCTTCTTCCTTCCTTCCTTCCTTCCTTCCTTCCTTCCTTCCTTCCTTCCTTCCTTCCTTCCTTTTTTCCCTCCCTCCCTCTCTCTTTCTTTCTTTCTTTTCTTTCTTTCTTGTAGAGACATGGTCTCACTGTGTTGCCCAGGCTGGTCTTGAACTGAACTTCAGCGATTCTCCCACCTTGTTCTCCCAAACTGCCGGCATTACAGGTGTGAGCCACTGCTCCTGGCTTCCAAACTTTTTGTTTTGTTTTGTTTGTTTTTGAGATGGAGTTTCACTCTTGTTGCCCAGGCTGGAGTGCAATATCATGATCTTGGCTCACTGCAACCTCTGCCTCCCGGGTTCAAATGATTCTCCTGCCTCAGCCTCCCAAGTGGCTAGGATTACAGGCATGCACCACCATGCCTGGCTAATTTTGTATTTTTAGTAAAGATGGGGTTTCTCCATGTTGTTCAGGCTGGTCTCAAACTCCTAACCTCAGGTGATCCACCCGCCTCAGCCTCCCAAAGTGCTGGGATTACAGGCGTGAGCCACCGTGCCCAGCCTCCAAACTTCTTGTAAGACCCTTCAAGAGCTGGCTCCTGTAGCCTCATCTCAGACCATCCCTCCCCTCCCTTCAGCTCAAGGAACGTGGAGGAACTTGCAGTTCCTTGAAGCTGCCATGGTCTCTGACCTCCAGTCTTACCACATGCTAGTCCAAACACTTGCAAACCCTCTCCCCTGGTCTTCATCTGACTAACTTCTACTACTCATCCACCATGTTTCTGCTGAGACGTGGCTTCCTCCCCAGGCTTTCTTGACCACTCAAAGTATTGCTTGAATCACAGAGTGGCTCATCTTTTTTGCATATGACCCACGAATACCTTTGTAGAGGGAAGTCACCCGCTGCCTTCCTAATCGTCTGGGCTGAGCACCCCTGCCGTGTGCTCCCAGAGCTCTCCACACTGGCCCACTCCTATGAGAAGCTCTCACTATACTATTCACAATCTGACTGTCTTTCCACCAGTTCCAAGAGGGCAGGGACCCTGC